ACATGCCCTTAGCGGGAACCGAACCCAGGCCTCTCTGGACCACAGGTTGACGCTCTAACCGCTGAGCCAAACTGGCCAGGGCTAGACAAAATATTTTTAAAAACCTTTCTAAAAGCAACAAAATACTGGGAGATTCCCAGGCTAGGTTCAGGAGAGGGTGGTCATGTAAAAAGTGAGTCTGATGCTCAGGGCTACTTCCCCTGAATATGTTTGCAAATCTGAGAGAGACAACAGGCTGAGTGCTGACCTGGAAGTGTGTTTGCTGGAGGGAAGAGTTTAGAGTCCAGGACCACTAACTGTGGGAACCCTTGTGAACTACCCCATGCTCTGAGTTGGGGACCTCAAATGGTTGTACCATAGAAGTACATCGAGCCAACCCTCACATGCATTGCAACCTAACTGGGCACCCAGAAGTCTGAACTTGGATAAAGGTAATCCAGAATTGTCAGTGCCCCCAGGCACCAAGCTAAAGCAAAAATACTAGTTGAGGAAAATTATATCTTCTAGGCTTTAAATTATTTCTACAAATATTTAACTAATGCCAAATCAAGTACTTATTCAAAGATAACTAGGTGTACAGAGAGACAAGGCACTGAAAAAGGACCAGCAACAACAGGCAGCAGAAAAAGACCCACAGGAACCCCAGACACCAAACATATCAGACAGAGAGCGCAGAGCAACTATATTTACTATGTTCTTGGAGACAGAGGGAGAATCTTGAAAATTTTAGATGTTATGGGCTGATTTGTATCCCTCTTCCACCCAAATTCATCTATTGAAGTCCTAGTCTCAGTACCTAAGAATGTTACTGTATTTGTATTTAGGGTCTTTAATGGGATAAATAAGGTTAAGTGAGGTCATTGAGATGATTAATCTAATATGACTGGTGTCCTTATAAGAAGAGGTGACAGCCCAGCTGGTGTGGCTCAGTAGTTGAGCATCGCCCCATGCACCAAGAGGTCGCCGGTTCAATTCCCGGTCAGGGCACATGCCCAGGTTGTGGGCCAAATCCCCAGTAGGGGGCATGCAGGAGACGGTCAGTTGATGTTCTCTCTCATCGATGTTTTTCTCTCTCTTTCCCTCTCCCTTTCTTTCTCTCTAAAATCAATAAAGAAAAAAAAAGAAGAAGATGCAATAAGGTCATGGACACACCTAGTGGAAGGACCATGTGAAGACACCAGAAGAAGGCAACCTTCAACACTCTAAGGAGAGAGCCTGGTGAATGAAACCAACTCTGCCAACACCAGATCTTGGACTTCCAGCCTCCAGGAAAGTGAGGAAATAAATGTCTGTTGTTTGTCACCCGATTTGTGGTACTTTGTTATGGCGGCCCTATCAAACTAATAAAAAAGGGACCCGGGAACTGTATAAATGGACACAGCATATTTAAAGAGAATTAACCAGGGGGAAACCAGAGAATAACATAATACCTCAGAGAAATCGATGGACAGATTGATTTATTTATTTTTATCCTCACCCGAGGACATTCTTGCATTTATCTTTGGATAGAGTGGGAGGGGGAGAGGGAGGAAGAGAAAGAGAGAGAAACATTGATGAGAGAGACACATCAAGTGGTCACCACCCACAACACCCCAACCAAGGTGGGGACAAACTGCAACCAAGGTACGCACAAGACCCCAACCAGGGTGGGGACAAACTGCAACTGAGGTACGCACAAGACCCCAACCAGGGTGGGGACAAACTGCAACCAAGGTACGCACAAGACCCCAACCAGGGTGGGGACAAACTGCAACTGAGGTACGCGCCCCTAGCGGGAACCAAACCCAGGTCTCTCTGGACCACGGGTGGATGCTCTAACTGCTGAGCCAAACCGGCCAGGGCTCAATGGACAGATTTAGAAGCTGATTAAACACAGTTGCAGACAAAAGTAGTAGACTCTGGTTTCCTTCAACTATCTCTTCTTTAATTTTAGATAGTTGAAGGAAACCCTTTGTAATGACTTACAGAGAACAAAAAATTTGGAAAACAGAGAACAACTAAGAGATAGATAATATAGTAAGAAAATCAACCAGACTATAATTGGAGCCACAGAATAAGGGGGGGGGGGGATTAAAGAGATCATGGCTGAGACTTAGAAATAATTGGGGGTGGAGGGGTAAGACACCAAAAGAACAAGCTAAGAAGCCCCAAAAGATTAGACAAAAAGAAATCCATATCTAAACACATCAACAATGGCACCACAATTGTTGAAAAGAAAAAAGGAGCCAGGAAAAAGATTAATTTCAAAGGAGTGGCATTGAAGCTGATGTTCAGTTCTCAGCAGAAACAATGGGCGCCAGAAAACAGTGCAATGGTATTTTCAGTTATCTGAAAGAAAATAACTGCAAAAGAGGATTCTATACACGGAATATGAAGGTGGAAAGGGCATTTTGAGACAAAGAGGAGAGCCTCCATTCACCAGCGAGCAGAACAAATGATCCCATTTGGAATATTAGGAGATACAGACGGAATGAAAAGCAAAGAAAAAAGTCCCAAACAAAGCTTGCCTGACCCTCAGGTGGGGTGGAAGCAAAAGATGCCTGCCACGTGGGGGGCGTAGGAATCCCATGTGGGGGGCCTAGGAATCCCACGTGGGGAGCATAGGAATCCCACGTGGGGAGCTAGGAATCCCACGTGGGCAGGACTAGGAGCCTACATTGATAGAAACAGACCCGACTGCTGCCTGGTGCAAGGACAGGGAACACTCCCACCCAAGACCCACCATCATTACGGGGCAGAGTTCAGATGCTGGGAGGGAGGAGTAAGCCCGGCCCCTGAGGCTCAGGTGCATAGGGCCTGTCTACACCCAAGCCTGGAGCAGGAGAACTGAGAAAACTCCCTTGCCACCAACATGAGCCTTATGTCATGAAACAAACAATGGCAAGCTACTGCAGGGGAGGGACACGGTCAGGGAGAGAGACCCCTCTGTGGGGCGGGCATGCAGGAGTGTTGAATGCTGAGGCTCAGGAACTGAGAAAAAGCCTGGGTTCCAGTCTCAGACAGCTCTGGTGGCACCCCGCACCCCCCCCCCCCATCAGAAGTGAGGAGTTGTTTGCTGGGCTTATCAAGTGGTGGCACAGCAGAAGAAAGACTTCGTGAACTTGACACAGGTCAGTAGAAATGATCCAAACTGAAACACAGAGAAAAACATGGAAAAAATAAAACAGAACACAATATTTAAGAGCTGGGACACAATCTCAAGCATGTAATTGAAGTAGCAGAAAAAGACAAGGAAAATGTAGCAGAAGAAATATTTGAGGGAAAAAATGGCTGAAAAATTTCCAAAGTCAATGAAAGATAACAAATCACAGATCCAGGAAGCTCAAAACCCAAATAAAATGAACACAAAACCAAAACAAAGATAGAGAATATTTGGAAAGCAGCCAGAGAGAAATAATACGGAACAAAAATAAGAATTATAGCAGAGTACATTTGAACACCAAGTAAGCTGGAAGAGTCTATGATGACATCTATAAAGTACTAAAAGTGGGGGGCAGGGGTCAACCCAGAATTCTATACCTAGTGAAAAGATCTTTCAAAGTTGAGGGTGAAATAAAGATTTTTTATTTTGACGATAGGTGAGCCCAAAGCTTTCCTTCCCAGCACCATCTTGGGAGTTGCCCGCGTTCTCCTAAACTTCAGTGTGTGCACACGCCACCTGGAGATCTGGAAATGTCTGTTCCACGTGGTCCGGGTGATGCCTGAGATCCAACTGGTGATTTCCAACTGGTGATGCGATGCCGCTGTCGGAGGACTGTGCTCTGAGTAGCAAATCCTTAAAGCATTCGTCACGCTCATTCCGTGGTCAGCGGGGGGATATTACATTGTACAACGCAAAAAACGTGGAGGGTTTTCAGCCTTTTATTTATTCCACTTGCGAACATCCACACAGAGAGAACAGAGTGAGCCCCTCAGTACCACTGGTCACCAGTCTTATTTTATAACTTTCCCTGCCCCTAACCTTTTTGTTCCTAGAGTATTTTAAAGTAAAGTCAGCCATTGTATTATGTCTGTGTGCACTTGTATTATATTATGTCAGATAAGGGTTAAAAAAAAAAATAACCACGGCCCGGCCGGTGTGGCTCACTGGTTAAGTGTCGACCCACGCACCAAGAGGTCGCCGGTTCAATTCCCGGTCAGGGCACGTGACCAGGTTGTGGGCCAAATCCCCAGTTGGGGGCATGCAGGAGGCAGCTGATCAATGTTTCTACATTTCTCTCCCCCTCTCCCTTCCTCTCTCTCTAAAATCAATCAATCAATCAATCAATCAATCAATCAATCAATCACTGCAGTGTCATTATCACACAAAGGAATAATGCCTGTGACACAGAATTAACTGTAAATCCTTGACATCATCTAATGCTCAGTCCATTTCCAGGTCCTTGGACACCGGCAACAGAGGAGTCCCCTGGCCGGCTCCTCCAGTGCCCCTGAGCTACTTGGGCGTTCCTTAGGGGCCAAGCACACAGGTGTAATACTCCCCAAACCTGCCAATTTCACTCTTGGGGAAACAGTGTTTTCTAAAAACAATGGCAGAAGCTTTAGGATCATACTCTTTGTCTCCGGCTAATTCTTTAGCCTTGAGGCTGGGACAGGACACAGGATCCAGCCCTGAGGCCTGGAAAGTTGCCCCTGCTGCAGGCTGACAGACCAGGTGACCTGATGTAGACATTTGAAACAGTTTGCTTCCGGAGAGAGGTGGGGGATCAGGCTTCCCAAACTCTCCTCGCCTCAAAGCCTTCCAACCTCTCCAGGCATCGCCCGCTGCCAGCACCCCCATGTTCATCGGTGTGGTGCCCGGCCTCCCCGCTCCGAAGTCTGGCTTCCCTTCAGGAAGGAGCACGCGGCTGGCTCCTGGGCTGGCTCCTGCCCTGCGCCAGGCCTGCCTGCGGGCGCGCAGCTGGGCTCTCCCACCGCCGTCCCTGAAGCCCTCGGGGAGCCGCCAAGTCCTGTAACTGCAGCGTCTGGTTCTGTCCTGTTTCTGACAAGACCCAGAACACAAGGGTAACCCTTGGATACACCACTTACGAGTAACACTTGTGAAACACCAGCCACGAGGACACGGTGCCCCTCACAGTCCCGCGAGCCCTGGCCTGAGGGCACAGGCTGGGGCCTCCTGTCTCCTTCCTTCCTCAGAAGCTGGTGCCATCACACTGGCTTCTATGCGGGGCAGTGGACCTTTGCTCGGTGACAGTCTTGAGCCTCTGGTGGACCCTGAACCTTGAGAGACGACACAGTTTCCTGGCCAACTGTCTGCTGAGTCCTCAGCCTGGGGCAGAGAGGTCGAGCCTCTGGGCCCCGAGGCCCGCCCTGCTCAGCCGGGGTGACGGGAGCCATCGCCGTGACACTCAGTTTCCAGGTTCCGGATTTGGTGTCAGTCGGGGCTCTTCGGGCCCTGTGACAGAAACCACACCCGGAGTTCTTTCCGCAAAAAGGGGTCTATTTATTGAGAGATGGGGGACTCTCGTGGAACAGCCTGGTCTCTGGAGAGGCAGAGGGAGACGGGACTTCCTTTCGTCTTTTCTCTCCTCGCCTCCTGTAGGTGTCTTTCCCCCTGAGACCCCCTCAGAGGAGCGAAAACGTGGCCCCAACTCTAGGCCTCACAGAGGTCTGACCACACACTGCAGTCCCCTGGGAGCCGCCTGAACTCAGATGCCAGGCCGACTGAGTGGGGATGTGGGGCGGGGGTGGGCGTGGAGCCTGGGTGTCAGCTCCCCAGGCGACTCGAATGCTCACCCCACGTGAGAACAGCCGAGACACCCGTACAGTGTTTCACAGTTCTCTCCCATGGCGGAGGGGCAGGAGGCCAGTACACCCATTTAGGTCACCGTTGGCCCCTCTCTGGCCACCCCCTCTAACCAAGGCTGGACGGGCCTCATGAAACAGCCATCCCAGGGCTCCCCATGGACGTGCGGCAGCTGCCCAGCCAGGGCGCCCCACCAGGCACCCCACAGCAGCTCGTCTCTCCTCCAACCCTCCTACCCCTTGGAGTGTCCCCGACAGTCACCATGCTGGGGTTCTCTCTCACAGTCAAGCTCTGGGAGACGGCTGAGTTGTGTCCTTGGGGTTTGTGGCTTACGAGAGAGGTGGTCATGGAAAGGTGGTGGAGGAAGCCAGAAGGAAGCTGGCTGGGGGGCATCAGGCAGGCAAGGGACAGTCACGGTCAGCTCTTTCCACATTGGGGAGAGTCTCGGGGTCCAGGAAGGCCGTTTGGGTGGGGGAGGCCTGAGCGTGAGGGGAGGGAGTGATCTGGGTTTGTTGTCCCTGCATTCCTCTGAGGACTCTCTCCGGCAGGCCAGGGGCGGTGCCTGGACTTAAGGCCCAAAGCCCTTCCAGCTCTGACTGCCCCCCGGGTGAGGCTGGAGCCCACCAGTCTGGGCGTCCTCAGGCTGCTCCCTCCCTGCTCTGCTCTTGGACAGGGACATCTGGGGCCTCAGCAGACTGGTGGGTATGGAAAGGGGGCAGCACTGGGTGGGAGCAGAGCGTGGGGCTTCCAACCTTCCTGAGGACGGTCCTAATGCCTGAAAGGCCCTAATGTCCTCCCCCCAGTCCCTTCTCCACTTAGTGAGTCTCCATTGTCCCCTCACCCTGGTCAGATCCCCAGAACCCAGCTGGAGGGCCTCCCAAGGATGCTCCCCTCTCTCAGGGGGGCTCCCAGGGGCGGGCAGAGTGACAGGGATGGGACTGTGTCTCTCTCCAGACCAAGGGCTCCCTGACCCCGGGGCCGGTGTCCAGAGCTGGGCCAGCCTCCCATCAAGCAGGTCCTGGCGACAACTGGAGGCCAGGCTGGGCGGTTCCTGGGCAGGGGGCAGGCGTCCCGGACAGCGTGGCCGTGCTGTCTCCCCATCGTGGACCTTTGTCTCCCCATCGTGATGCCCAACAACCCCAGGGACTGGCTCTGACCTCTCTGAGCCGACCCCACCCTGGCCATGCCAGGGACAGATCAAATGACACCACACTTAAGGCTGGATGTTCACTCTCTTTCCAAAAAATACCAAACACAGTCTGGGTGTGGCAGGGAGACAGAGCCACGCTGGGGGCCTGGACATTACACACCCAGGGGGACCTTGGAGGAGGCAGACAACTTAAGAACTGGTCTGAAAGTCAAAAGAGAGGACAGTTGGTTAGTGGGGTGAGCAGTGGGGGGGAGGGGCAGGGCGTGGGGTTCAGGCCCAGGCACAGGGACTGGCCAGTGGGGTCAGACCTGAGTCCTCACAGCAGCCCTGCCTGGGGTGCATTCCCCGGGGTGTAGCCGGCCTGGCCTTGCCCTGTGTGGGTGTCCACGCAGAGCTGGGCTGCTGGAGGAGCTGACCTGAACTCAGAGACAGCGGGGCCAAGCCTCTCGGTCTCTCTGAACCTGTTTCCTCCTGTGCAATGTGGGACATTCGCCATCCCAGCACCGCCTGGGTGGCTGTGAGGAGCCAAGGGCTCTGGCCACCCCAGGGCACTGGGCTCCAAGGTCCGTCTTTATTGCTGTCCCCAGGGCCCGGCAGTGTAGTGTAGACACGCACGTAGCCCTTCAGTGAGTAAATAAGCCTCCGGGAGGACGCTGGTGCCAGGACTGAAACAGGCCCAGGCCGGCCGCCCTGTGCACCTGAGGGCGGGGTCCTGCCTCTGGCCTCTGAGTGTCTGGGTCTCAGAGTGAAGGGTGGGTGCTTATGTGGGGGACAAGCTGCTCCGAACCCTGACGGAGCTCAGGACACCCTGCGTCCTAGGCCCGCCCGGGTGCTGCAGGGGCACCGAGCGCCGGGAGGGAGACTCGGGGCTGGGCTCAGACGTACTCTCTGGCCGCCGCGGACGGCCCGGGCCGGTAGGGCTGCGGGCTGCTGTTGACTCTGTCGGGCTCTGGGCACGTGCAGCAGAGGAAGGAGCCCCCCAGCATGGCCAGGCCGGCGGAGGCCCAGCCCACGAACAAAGCCGGGCCGAACTCGTACCTGCAAGGGGTAGGGAGGGTGCCGTCAGGCTGGCTGCGCCCCGGCCCCCGCCTTCACCAGGGGCCCTCACGCCTCGGCCTGGCGGGGCGGCAGGGTGCGGGGAGCGGAGACGGGGCCTCGCAAGCCTTAGCAGACCCTCGGGATAAGCTGGGATGAAGGCTCATCCTTCCTCCACCCCCACCCCAGCACGTGCACACCGCGCGGGGCGGCCCAGACCCATGGGGGTTGCTTCGTGCAACTCGGGCCCCTTTCCTGCTCCGGCCAGTGGAGGGGGTGTGGGCGAGCCCGCAGGTCCCGCGGGGAGAGCAGGGCAACCCTGCCATCTCTCTCAGTCACAGTCTGACCCATGGTACTCCCAGCCGGGGACCCCCGCTGCCCCCCGAGAAGGGCAGACCCCTCCACCTGGCACGCCGGCCCGCCCGCCCGCGCGGCGCCCTGGATCTTCCCGCCTGTGCCTTTGCCGCAGGCGCCCCCTCCTGGAGCGTCTGTGGCTCTGCGCCTCCCGTGCTCCGCCTTCAAGGCCCCGCTCAGCTCTCTCCTGGAGGGGATTTTCCCAGACCCTCTGTCCCCCCCAGGACCGCGCTGGCTCTCACTAGGCGGCCTTTCAGTCCCCTGCTTGCTCGGCACCCTGGGGAGGGACTGGAGGGCAGACAACGCCCGATTTGTCCGTATCCCCAGGGCCCAGCACCGGGCCTGCCGCCCAGGTTGCCTTGGGGAGTGTGAAGGGATGAAGGGACAGCGTGAGCCGGGCATCCCCCAGCTGAGCTGCCTTCGTACTTGACAGGTGTTCATGGCTACAGCTGCCAGTCTCAGGGAAGGAGTCGCACGCCTGAGGTCTCATCTTTCTTCCCTCTCCATACCTATGCCTCCTCCAGGGAGCCCTCCCAACTGCAACAGCCCAGGCATCTTTTCTCATCACTGCCCCCACCCCACCCCTCCACTCCCCCGCCCCCATCCTGGGCCTGTGGGGATGTCTGAGGTTGGGATTGTTCCATTCTCTGCTCCTGGTAGAGCTGAGAGGTGAGGGAGGAGCCACAGGGGCCCAGGCCCTTCACAGAGCCCCACGCATGCCCTGGGCCTTACATGTCCTGAGCATTCTGCCTTCTAAATGTCTCCAACCTGCCCTTCGCTGCTGCCCTGGGCCCAGGCCTTTGCCACAGCACCTTTCTGGTCTTACCCCTCCCCCACCATTCGTCACCGGTGGGACTGCCAGCTGCCTGTGGAACAAAACCTTCCTGTCGCTGCAGGGCCCTCCATGATCTGCCCTATGGCTTCTCCAGCCTCAGCTGTCGCCTCCCACCCAAAGTACTGACTGCCTCCTGTAGCCCTCACCAGGACCCGGGCGGGCACTGTGCTGTCCCTTATCTGCAAATCTCATGGAACCCTCACAGCCACGTGTGAGCTGGGTCCTAGCTCCATTTCACAGGGAGGAAACCGGCACAGCCAGGTGAAGGAGCCAGCCCGTCACATAGCCAGCGCGTGAAGAGCTGGGACCTAAGCCCAGAGCCAGGCATTAGCTCCTGGGGTGTCCTCCACAGGCCCTGCCCTTCGGGGGCTTGGCCACCCCCTCCTGGTTCCCTGCTCCAGAGAGCTTCTCAGTGACAGCACCTGGGGCTGTCCCCTGTTTCCCCCTCCAAGTACCCTGCAGGATAAAGGCCAGTTGCCCCAGAGGCAGTAGAAAGGGAGGCCCAGTCTGTCCCCTGGCCCAAGCCATGCCTTGGCACTCACCTGGCATTGACAGGTGTGCTCGGGTTGAAGAACTCCTGGGTCACTAGGGTGGCATACCAAGAGACTGCAGTCAAGGTGCAGAGGCCTAAGGACAAAAGAGGGGGTGCTCAGCTCTGCCCCCAGCTGGCCACCAGTGTGGGACTACCTGTCACGGCCAAGAGGGTGGAGAAGGAGCCAGGGGCACTCACCTGCCAAGAGGAAGAGGGCACCCCCAGAGATGGCAATGCGGCCCTTGGCGATGGGGTTGCTGTCTCCAACCCGGGTGCACTTCATGCCGACGACACTGAGGACCATGGCCACGAAGCCCAGGAGCACGGCCACCACCATCAGGGCTCGCGCTGACTGGATGTGACCTGGGGGGTGGGAGGGACTGAGCTGTTGTGGGAGAAGTGAATGGATGGGAGCAGCTCAGGGATACCAGATGTCTTTCTGGATCCGCGTGGTGGGGACGTGAGGGCAGCCTGGCTTTGGCTTGTGGGCCCTGGGCAGAGGGTGGGTGGGCCGGCCCCAAGCCAGGGACAGACCTACAGCGGTGCCTGCTTAGGAGCCAACTTTTCAGTCTCAATTCCACACCCCAGGAGGAGGAAGAGAGGGACCTGTGGGCCCGACCACCAGTGTGTGCACATGTGTGTGTGGGTGTGTGTGCACATGCGTGTGTGTGGGCGTGTGCACGTGTGTGTGCACATGTGTGTGTGTGCATGTGTGCGGGTGCCCCTGAGTGCTGGCATGCTCTTCTAGCCGGCAGGGCCAGAGTGTGCGTGCACACAGGCCTGTCTGCCTGCAAAGCACAGGGGGATGTGGAGGGGAGGGTCCTGACTGAGCCTTTCTGAGTGCCAGGCCCTCACCTCACCCGACCCTTCCATCAGCCTGTAAAAGGCACAGCACTCCCTTTACACACGGCGACATAGGGACACAGAGAGGGTCTCGGCTCTTTCATGGTGACAGAGGCAGAGCTGGGATCTGGACCCACGGCTGCCAGAACCGAGAGCCCCTACCCTCTGTGGGGCACCGGGCTGGCCTAGATTTTCCGAAGCGCGAGGGGCAGGGGCGGCAGAGTGGAGCCCAGCGGAGGGGGCCTGGGCGAGCCCTTCCGCCCCCGCGCCGCCGCCGCGCGGGGCCTACCTTCCAGGGCGAGCAGCGAGTCGTAGAGCTTGCACTGCACCTGCCCGGTGCTCTGGGAGGCGCAGGACATCCAGAGCCCTTCGTACAGGCCCACGGCGGTGATGATGGCGTCGCCTGCATAGGAGGACTGCTTCCACTGCGGGAGGGCTGTGCTGGCGATGATGCCCACCCAGCCGCCCAGGGCCAGGAAATAGCCCAGGAGCTGGAGGCCCGAGTTGGCCATGGCCCAGGGAAGGAGGCTGGGGGGTCCCAGAGCTCAGGGCTGGGCCACGGTCCCTGGGGGGGCCGGGGTCATGGCCAGGTGAGCCAAGCGCTGGGCGGGAGGGGTGCAGCAGTGGTAAGGAGAGGTGGCAGCCCAGCCACGGCAGCCCAGCAAAGGCAGCAGCTGGAGCTCTAGAATGCAGGGGGAGGCCTAGGCGCTGGCAAGGCCAGGGGCCCGCCCACAGCAGCCGGCTAAGCCAGGGCAGGTCCCAGCAAAGCTGCCCAGCCCCCTGGGGGTGGGGAGCTGGCCGTGGAGCAGGTGGGTGCCCCTGCCCCTCAGGGATGGAGAATGGAGGGACTGGGAGGAGGGATCCTATGAGTCCTTGAGGGGACCTTTCTGCCAGGGAAACCCCCTTAGGAGCCTGATGCCAGTCAGTGCCCTAACATTCTCCTAATCCCTACCCCAAGCACCAGCCCAGAGATGACGGGCTTTGCTCTTGCATGGCTGAACTGACCTGGGGGATTCTGTCCTTTCTGCCTAAGACAGAAAGGAAATGGAATTCCAATTTGCAGCAGGTAAGACTAGAGTAGACATCAGGAAGAACTTTCTGGAGAAGACTGAGACCAGATATGGAGAGATTGGGCTTTTAGGGAGAGGAGGGTCCTGGGTACCTGGGAACCATGTGTATCAAAAACAGGGGAGGCCAGACGGAATATGCACTGTGGGGTCTGTTTGAGATATGAGGTGGGCAGAGGAGGGGCCCCATCAGGGCTGGGCCAGACCCGGCTGCTGGTCAGCAAGGACCCGGCAGGGAGGTGGGAGAGCGCGCCAACCTGGCATCAGCCTGAAGGAAGGCAGACTGTTCAGCCTGTTAATCCCCTTGCTGGCTGGCTTAGCAGCTCCTGCTGAGGCCGGAGGCACTGGGCCCTGGGCCCCAGCTCCAGAACAGCCTGGTGGGGAGGGAGCACATTCCTGGGGTTCAGGCTACCCCCTCCTCGCACCCACCTTCCCCCCACCCCAGCTCAGCCCTCTGGAGCAGGAGAATATTTAACTCTCCTGGACCTCATTAGCAGTCCCCTCACGTTCAGCTCAGCCGTGGGTGCAGGGGGAATGTCACAACCCGCTCCCACTCCTGCAGCCCCTCCCACAGCGCCCCCTCCTTCTCTGGGGGCCACCTGCTTTTGCTGGCCTGCACTGGGGGATGCAGGGTCCTGCTGTGGACCACCCCAGCTTCCTCCCCACAGCCCCGGCCCCCCTCGACAGGGACGTGTCCCCAGCCTGCACCCTTGCATTCTTCACGTGGCTATGCAAACGAGAGGGTGCCAGGCACTGCCCAGACAATGGCTGCCCTGTGTGCCCGCCCACGGCGTGGGCCCCTGGTATGGCCCGGAGCCCCCGCCCCTGGGAGCTGGGGGGCAGGGGTGGGTGCTGTTTGGCCTGTAGTTCCGAACACTGGGCCCCTGTGGCCCTCCTGCTGGGAAGGCAAGAGCCACATGGCTCTGTGTACTTGGAAAGGTCCTGGGGTCCCCAAATCAAACAGGGTCTAAACAGTAGGAGAGAAGTCAGATTCCTCTTGCACACAGACAATGCTGACAGCACAATAAGGGGAGCCGAGGACACTGCTGGAGCCCCAAGTGGACACTCCTGGGGACCCATGGAGCACCTGGGGCAGGTCTTTGAGCTTGAGTGTCAAGGCCGCACAGAAACCAGTCGGAGCCACACAGGCCCTCCAGACCATGGCTGCCAGCCTCCGCTGATGGAGGAGGGGCTGAGAGCCCAAGAGCGACGCCAGTGGCTGTTCCAGGACACGGTCTCGGGCCTCTGCAGCTTAGAGGGTGTGTCCCTGAGCCTCCATCCTGGAGCCCCTCACACTGGACCCAGAAACATTTGTGACCCCGAACCAGGCTCGTATCTCCCTCTGATGCCCTTGAAGGTTCACCCCTTCTCTCTGCTACTTGAGGTCTGGAGTCCGTTCTCTCAACATGCGCTCGAGGGCCTTTCTCAGCGTGCCAACGCCTTTGGGAACCTGCTCCTCGAGGGGGTGGCCTCCTGCTGGGGCGCCCGCCCCCCAGCCCGGTGACTCCCAGGCATGCTGGAGAGCACCCAGCCTCCCTGGCCTCCACTGAGAGCTAACTAGAGCCTGCCCTGGGGTGTCACATGTCACTGTTCAACAAGTGTTTTCACATACTTGACAAGAAGCTTAGGGTTGTAGCTTCACCTCTGCCTCTGGAAGCCGTGTGACTTAGGCAAGTCCCTTAGCTTCTCTGGGCCTGGTTCCTTAGCTGAAAAGTAGGGCTGATGCCACTTGCTCTGTCTGGTTCATGATGGTATTGACAGGGATCCAATAATGGGTGAGAAGAGCTTTTGGAAAACTTAATATGCCTGAAAAAATGTGGTCAATGACAGCTCTGTTCCCGAGACTCCCTCCTTGGCCGGTGTCCCCTTTGTGCCCCCTCATGCTGGGTAGGGCTGGACTGACTGTGGCTGGAAGCCCGCTGCCACCTCCTGCCTGGCAGCGCCTGGCAGAGAGCGGCGTAGGGTAGACGTGTTGATCATGACTGTTTGGCATGAGGATTACCTGTTTCTGCCTCCCCCGCGGTGGAACTCTGCGGCCCTTCCCGGTCCTCTCCCAAGGACAGTCAGGGGGCTGACTCAGCGGGTTGCCATCCAGCTCTCTCTGCGGCCACCACCTGCAACATTAAAGGTGGAGCTGGTTTGACTGCCCCCAACTCAGTCTGACCTTCCTGCAGAACCCAGGCTGGGAATGGAGGGGACTTGCCTCAGGCCACACAGCTGGAGAGCATGCAGCCAGCGGTGGGCCTCCCGCAGCCGCTGTCCTGCCTGCCCACAGCGGCAGGCGCTGACCTGGGACCCCGTTCACAGCACTCACTGTGGTTTGCCTCCCTCCAGAGGACTGGGAGCACCTCATGGCCCTCCAGCCAGCCTTGTTTCTGTGCCCCACGTCTAACCCAGGGTGGGTGCCCTTTCCTACTCCCAACTCTGAGCACAGGCTCTCTCAATGCCCGTGCAAGGACAGCTGCCAACTGCTCGGGGTGCCAGAGACCAGAGTCCTCGTCCACATCTTCCCTTTGTTTGCTGAGCGGCCTGCACCCACCTAGTGCTCACGTGGGCCTCTCTTCATCCGGAGCAAACGTCCACCATGGCTGACATGCCCTTGATGTGCCCTATGACCCAGGCTGAGCAACCACAGCCCGTCTCAGCCCGGACCCTGCCGTCACCTCTTGCTTCAGTTGACCTGCCCACCCCAGTGATAGGCACTTCTCCCCTGGTCCTGTTGCCCTTGAGAACATTTGGCCTTTCATGAGTTCTACTGAGAGAGTCTGCTGTCTCCACGTGGTTGGCGTACGTTGAAATATTAAAGGTCATCTGCCTTGATGTAGAAACTTCTGGAAGACCAGAACTGGGCAGGTATAATTTTCTGAGACACTGAGTATCTACTGTGTGCTCAGTGAGCGTTGTGCCAGCTGCTTTGCTCCCTCATGAACACTCTTGAGCATCCTGGGAGGTCAGGACCGTGCGCCCGGGTTCCTGGGGAGGAAACACACCCGAAGACCAAGTGGTGGAAGGGAGTCTCGCCCACTCAGCATGTGGGTGAAGCTCAAGTTCTTTCCACGAACGTGGTCCTCTCTCCATAGGGCAAGTGAGTGACCAAGCAGGACACGGGATCACCAGTGACTGAAGGAATAGGGACCATCCCTCCGAGGTCATTCCCATGAGCATACTCGCACTCCGTGCTGTCTCCCAGCTCAAACACAGCCGTTCCTTCTCCTCCGGCTCATCTCTGGCCCCACGTAGAGCCCGACTCCTGAGAAGAGCTGTCTGTAGCCACCACCACTGCGTCTTCCCCTCCCCTCCTCACTCAGCTCACTCCGGCCCGCCTTTCGTCCACACCACCTCACCAAAGCATCTTGTCGAAGTTCTCACTGATCTCCATGGCGCCCACTGCAAACGTGGGTTCTCAGGTCCTCCCTGGCTCAGCCTCTCGGCAGCCTGGACAGCACTGCTCGCTCCCCTGAACCTCTCATTGGCTTCCCGGCTGCATCCCTCTCAGGTCCCCTGCTCGCGTCTCTGTTGGCTCCCAGTGTCCTCCAGCCCCTGACACCTCCAGCCAGGCTCATCTTCTGACTCTTCCTGTCTACTCTGACCTCAGTCTCCTGGCTTTGACACCATGCAGACGCCGATGATGACTCCCAAAGCCCACTGCCTCCAGCTCTCCCTGAACTCCAGACTCAGACATAGCTTACTCTCTGGTATTTCCACTCGGATACCTAGTGGGCTCATCAGCATACCACGTGCAACGCCAAACTCCTGGTTTCCACCTCACCCTCCCTCCTGCAGCCCGGGGCTAAAATCCCTCTTGATGCTTTCTCTCTCTCTCTCTCTCTCTTTTTTTTTTTTATCCTCACCCGAGGACATTTTTTGTTCAGGTAGAGTGGGAGGGTGAGAGAGGAACAGAGAGAGTGAGAGAAACATCGATGTGAAAGGAACACCTCGAGTGGCTGCCACCCGCACAACCGACCAGGGCCGGAGACAAACTGCAACCGAGGTACACGCTCTTAGCGGGAACCGAACCCGGGTCTCTCAGGACCGCAGGCCGACGCTCTAACCGCTGAGCCAAACCGGCCAGGGCTCCCTCTCTCTCTTTTAAAAAAGTATTTTTATTATTATTTTTTTTGTTATAGATATTTCTCCATTTTCCCCCATTGGCACCCTCCTCTCCATCCCCAGCTTTGTTGTCTATGCCCATTGGTTATGCATACATGCATGTAAGTTCTATGGTTTATCTTTTCTGCCCCCAAACCCCCTCTTCTGAGGTTTGTCAGTCTGTACCCTACCTCTATGTCTCTGGGTCAATTTTGTTCATCAGTTTGTTTAGTTCATTATATTCCACAAATAAGTGAGATCATGTGATATTTGTCTTTCTCTGCTTGGCTTGTTTCGCTTAGCATAATACTCTCCAGGTCCCTCCATGTCATCTCAAAGGATAAGAGATCTTTCTTACAGCTGCATAATGTTCCATTGTGTATATGTACCACAGCTTTTTTTTTTTTTTTTTATCCTCACCTGAGGACATTTTCCCACTTTTTGTTCAGATAGAGTAGGAGGGAGAGAGAGAGAGAGAGAGAGAGAGAGAGAGAGAGAGAGAGAGAAACGTTGACGTGGAAGGGACACATCGA